TGAACTGCACCTCACGATGCTGGAAGACATAAGAGCTCGGGAAGACATGATCCCCACATACAAAACTCTCAGGGGGAATTGACAGGGTAGACAAAGATGGATTATTTAACACAGGTGGTATACGCACAAGAGGACACAGATGGAAGCTGAGTACCCAAATGAGCCACAGAGACATTAGAAAGAACTTTTTCAGTATTATGGTAGTTAGTAAATGGAATGCACTAGGAAGTGATGTGGTGGAGGCTGACTCCACACAGTTTCTAATGTAGATATGATGGAGCTCAAGAAGCTCAGAAATCTGTACACCAGTAGATTGACGGTCGAGAGGCGGGACCAAAGAGCCAGAGCTCAACCCCGCAAGCACAACTAGGTGAGCACACAGTCATTTCTTTCTCCCCATGCAACACTCCTTTCCATCAGGGAATTGTGTGAAGCCATATTTTTTGCCAAAGAATAGAAGAAAGATTGAGTTTTCCTTTATAATACTGTATAGGGATGAACCATGTAGTCATGTTGGGCGGTACGTAGTTCTATTGGCTCTGATTGAACTCTTCTGTTAGGGTGGCAAGCTGAGATGCTAATGAGAGACTGTGGAAGGAGTTCTCTCTCAGACTTGCCGGCCGACCATGGCGACGGATGGTGGTGCACGCAGTGTCTCTCCCATAGATATTCCCAATCCCTTTGAGGGTTTTCAGGATCCGTTGTTACTTGGAACGCATTCCGATCATGTTGTTCTCCCGGTCTTGGAGCGGGATCCAGAGGGTGTTTTCCTGAACAGTAAACATCACAGTAAGGTTAATCGATTGGAGGCGAAAAGTTGCCAGCGTCCTGAGGTACCCTGTGACCCTCTGCGGCCTCCGTTTCCATGCCCTCCACTCACTCACGGTAGGACAAATTCTCCTAGTCTACAAACATTCATCATTGCCTTTGATGTCGATACGTCCAGTGACTGGAGTATTTTTGGAAATAGCAGGGCCCAAAGACTCCTCTATCATGCCATTCCCAAGTTAATTAAGATCAGAGTGCACAATATCAGACTGAATAAATGCAGGAACTGATTGCAGTGGACCACGATCACTCCGAGGATCTGGAGCTTTCGGACTTTACTGACACCTGTGGTTACAAAGTCCGTTGTTATAAGCCTCTGGGTGAACGTTTGGTATGATATGTGGTCTGGCATGTTGTTGACATTACTGCGGATGACATGAAGGCACAATTGCAGGATGTTGATATTCCAATCTTCGGTGTCATGAAATTTATGCGTAGAACTAATGGTGAACTGTGTGATACAGGCACTGCCCTACTTACTGTTTTTGACTCCATTTTCCCTAATCAGGTTTGGATTAATGACTTCCTCCATAAATTGGAGGTGTATGTCACCCATCCCACTTAGTGCTTTCGTTGTAAGGGTTTTCACTATACCTCACAAGGCTGCACCAACGACGTCAAATATGGCAAATGCTCTGGTTCCCATTACACTCGTGACTGTGTGTCTAATATGCTCTGCTGCCCCAATTGTGGTGTTGATCGTGTCATTACATTCAAGCAATGTCCTTCCTACGTTGCGGCACTCACTGTGGATCTAGCCGTCACCCTGCCTTCCAGTCATAGTTTGCTTCGTCCTGCCCCTGTTCCTCATCATCCACTGCTTTCCACTCCGCCATCGTCTTTGCCTGTGCCTGACCTGTCATTGACGTTCCTCTAACCCCTGGGACCTCTTCTCTCTCACCCACCGTACAACAGAGTCGTGATCTTGTTGACATTATTGTCACTCGCATTGCGGATGCCCTCGAGAAGGCGCTGATCTGACTCCTCACTAAATTCTTTCCACAATCTGTCCTCTCCGTTCCAGAAGCTGTTTCGATGCACCTTTCCTCCGCTTCTCCTATGGTTGACATCCAACCACCCACAGCTGCCTCTGCTAACTACAATGTGTTTCAAATGATGCTGGACAACGCCCTTCAGAGTTCTTTGGCGCGCCTTTCCCGTCTTTCTCCCCAGGCTGCCTTGCCACAAATCTCTACCCCCGGTACTAAGATGTAGCAATTCTACATCGCCCCAACTTCCAAGCGCCCTGCCATCTTGCCTGACGGGCCCCATAAACCACACTCTCCCACGACTTGTCCTTGCGCCACTACTAGGTCTTCCTTCTGTTGTCCTGCTGGCACTTCTAAGAAGTCTGATGTGTTTGTGTCCCACCCGTAAGGCTCCGGATTCCGTCTACGTGCCTTGCTCTGTCCTAACCTCACCTGTCCCAACCTGACTTCCTCTGACCTTCTACGTATTCACCCTGTGTACCTTCCTCTGCTCGCACCTCCCTTACTTTCTCATGTCTACTTAGCGCTTGCCTCCTACTTATCCTTCGCCTCCCGCCCTCCGGCTCTTGCCTACATCCCTCGCTTTCTTTAGTGCAGCGACACTTTGCGTTCGCCTTCTGTACTCCTCATTATTCACATCCTGCGTCCCTGTCCTCTTGTCAGTTTCTTTTGCCTCACTCACATGGACAACGTCGTTATCTTCCCTGAACAGACATCCACTCAGATGTCGTTATCTTCCCACCTCTGTCACTTCGTGACCGATGAAGTGCCGCTACACATTATCACATAAGCATCTTTATACATTACCACTCATGCAGTCATTGGGAGGATACACCTTCATGCAAATTGCACGTATTGTGAAGGAGGAGGAGGAGGAAGAGATGTTAATCCTAACCTAAAGGTTAGAATATTATTGTATTTATACTGTATCAATGACTTCAGGCTCGTGCCACCAAAGAAATTTGTTTATAATGATCAGTCTGTCTCCACTACCAATGCAATTTATAAAAATCAAGCATTGAATATAGTGAAATGCCCCTTTCTGAGTTGGGTGGGCAGGTGTAATCGTTGGGTGACCTCATCTGCCATCTGATGGTGTCCTGGGGTACTAACACTTAGTTCGTTGACATCATGCAAAGTAACACCTCCCTCTCTTCCATCTCTTTTTCCTTCATTAAAATAAATAGTTTGTTTTGCTTTGCCTGTAATTTCTGTGCTGTTTTACTCAGTTATAAGGCTGATCTCATATCACCCAGGCTTCCCTCACTGCTATGAGCAAACCAGATTCTGGCGCTGGTGTTAGGAAGATCCATGCAAATCCAGAGGTCTAGCTATTTTGAGGCTGTTCATTTGGTACCAGAAATAAGAACTGGAAAGTTACTGAGGGTCAGCAAAAAATCAGTGTCAGGATTCATCAAGCATTTATGCAATCACTTACAAAATTGGATGCTTCTGTAATGTGGATCTGTTTCCTAGGCAGGATCCAAGGTCAGGCAGCAAGTAGCTCATTAACTAGTACAGTACAGTAGTTAGCAGAATGATAACTGGCTGTCTTGGTGATCCAAATTACAGTGGCACCTCGACTTACGATTGCCCCAACATACGATAATTTCGAGTTACGATGTAAATTTCATAGAAAAATGTGACTCGACATCCGATGGTGTCGTCGACTTCCGATATTTGTTGGTACACGTTCAGGTCGACCGAGCACGTGGTTCCCGGTCATGCGGTTCGACCTGTCTCAGTTTACTACAGCTGCCCGCTTAGTGACGATTGTGCCTATAAGAAATTCCGCATTTGTGGTGATTTTTTGCATTTTGAACATTAAAGTAATTATTATATATCACGCCATGAGTCCCAGGAAAGTCAGTGGTAAGGCTCAACATATGAAAACCCATGTAAGGATGACCATAGAGCAGAAACAAGAGTACACAATGTCTCTTCCTCAACAATTAAGAAAATGTGTGCAGCATGGGAAGAATTGCAGTTTCAGCTTTGCTGAAACGACTCACCCAAATCAAGCTGCAGTAGGTCGTTGCCTTAACCTATTCAATGACACTGTGATGCATCATTACAGACAAATGTTAAAACGAAGTGAAAAACAAATGTCTCGACAAATTTGTAGTGAGACAAACAAGCACTGAACCACAACCAGGTCCTAGTGGTATTCAGGCAAAACGTAGGAGAGAGATTACCCCAGAGAAAACATTACTGCCTGATGTGATAATGGAAGGGGACTCCCCTTCCAAACAGTAACAACTCTCCTCCTCCCCCCTCATCACCATCTTCCATACGCCATCAAGAGCCCTCCATAAAGGTAAGATAAACTTAGGTACTGTATTGTAGTTAGAAAAAACATTGTATTCAGTATAAAATGTATTTGTATGTTAATATTTTGGAGGGTGGGGAACGGATTAGTTCAATTCCCTTTATTTCTTATGGGAAAAATTGCTTCGACTTACGATATTTCGACTTACGATCCGTCTCTGGGAACGGATTAGCATCATAAGTCGAGGCCCCATTGTATATAGTGTAGTGGATGATTCTGCTCCTTGGTGGTGAATTTGGAGAACTCTACACTTATTCCCCTTCTCATCCATGTGGCAAAACTATTTGCAGTTTCTTATCAAAGTGGGGTAAAGGTCGATGTTATCTTGAGGTTATCGCGAGATGATTTCAGGGCTTAGTGTCCCTCCGGCCTGGTCCTTGACCAGGCCTCCTTTTTCTTACACATCCCCAGGAAACAGCCCATAGCAACTGTCTAACTACCAGGTACCTATTTACTGCTAGGTGAACAGATGCATGAGGGTGAAAGAAACTCTGCCCATTTGTTTCCTCCTCCACCCGGGATCGAACCCGGAACCGTAGGACTACAAATACCGAACGCTGTCCACTCAGCCGATGTGAGCCTGTTGTCTTAGCAGTGTTTTGAGTAGCCCCTACTACCTGGATCAGTGTGACTGGGGGCCTTGCTCAGAAAAGAAGCTTAAGTTGCTGAAAACTGATGACACGCTTCTGCATCCTTCACCATCTATACATCCATCCATTCACTTAAAACTTACAAGCATGTGAAGATCCATGCTGTTTGCTTTTTATGCTTAAGGTAAAACTAGAAGCATCTAGGGAGGGAACAGGCTTTTATCATTATATATTTTACTAGGTGAATAAGCCACAGCTTCTTACTGGATATGAGAAACACAGTAGGAAGATCAATTCCCACTCGAAGACGATCAACTGCATGATGAAGATGAGCTGCAGGACAAGAAAATGCATTTAGTTAAAGAATTTTTAAGATAGACACACCAGAAGCTTGAAATTAAACAAAAACTAATAAACACAAATTCAAAGTGCTTGTGCGTTTCTAATTACCAATTTCACATTTGGGGAAGAGGGGTTTCCATTTTCACTACCAAACTGATCCACTGCTTCAACTGCATACTCAGTAATAAGTAAATAAGTACAATACATACTTATTTACATATTAATGGTCTTGAGAATAGATAAAAATGTATAGCTCATGTCTGATTTGCAAAGAGGAACATAATCTACAAATGTTTATGAACAGTTCAACATAAAACAACTATTCACAGATGTTTTGGAGCCGGGAGAAGGGGAGGGGGAGCAGGATGAACCACAGCAGGGGAAGACAAGGGGGCGCGGAAGAAACCAGAGTCAAAGCGACTAACACCCCCAAGTCCACCCCCTATAACCAAAGCGGGGCAGCCGCGGGGCATCCAGAAGGCAATTAATTAACCTAGAGTGTTGCAGCAAAATAAAATGTGAATGCAATACAGATGCTACCTGCACCCGATCAACAGCATTATCGAACAGGGTGAACTGGAGTACACGCAAGGAATATCACTTGCAAGAATCCGGATCAAAGGTGTCATCGACCCAACAGGCATCTAGATGGAGGCAAAAACGGTGAAATGTCATCCAGAGACAAGGGGGACAGAGCAACTTTCAAACTCACACAAAGCGAGGTGGGACTCGGAGGTCTCCTCCATGGGACCAGTGAGCCCCAATGTGGGTTCCCAGGGTCCTTAGGCTGACTGCTAAGGGAAGCCCAAGCAAGGTACTGCTAACTGGTTATCATAGAGCTACCAAGCAAACAAACTAAAAGTTGAACCCCTGCAATGTGTGCAATCACAGGGACCAAGCGGAGGGCCACCAAAATCATACAAGTGGTCCTACAACCACACCAGGCAAAAGAAAAGAAAAAGAAAAACCCTGCAAAAGTACAACATCCCCAGGGGGAATAGAACTGGACGCCATGTGTATATCAGACAGTTGCACAGTACCTTGCACCCCAGCCAGCAACAATACTACCTCCTCCCCAAAGTCAAACAGGAATAAGAACAACCCCAGCTGACCCCAAGGGCGGGCAATCACCAAGCAGCAAAAGAACCACGCAGAGGTAGACTCAAATGGCTTATGGAAGATAACCGTATACCACAAGTGCAGTACTTCCAGGGCACCTAGGGAAGGTGGCCCTAGGCACAAGCAGCCCCAGTACTCTTGTATTACTTCTGGCTCTCACACCACCACACAGTAGTACAACACCGCTATGGATAGCACTGCTCAAAATGATGGAGCCAGAGTCGATTGACCGGCACCAAACACAACAGCCTCTGAACTGAGGATGGGCAGCCGGTGCTGCGGAGGTCTGGGACCTCCCCCTTCCCCCCTCCTAGGGAGGGGGAAGTTGCGCAGACAGCAATGTGGTGGCTGTGGTGACATCATGCTTGTTTGCTTGTTTTCAATTGGGAGAGTTCTGCTTGCTAGTTCAGCTTTCAGTTTGCAATTTTTAACCTGCTGTAGTTTGTTTTGGAATTCCTACCTTTCTGGGTGCCTGACCTGGTAGATGACAGACATAGACTGCTTCCAGTTACATGGGGGTGTCTATAGGCCATTGCTCTTCGTGCATTTCTGAGGGGGTCAGGTCATGGCACTTGTCCCCGGTAGGCCTAAAACTCCGAGACCATAATTTCCCCAAGAGGAACCTCACCGAGCATCGCAACACCATCCAAGAACCAATCAGAATGGAGTTCTAGGAGGCTAAAGAAATGCATGACAGAAGCTAAGTGCAAGTGGGCTCGAAGGTCATCTGCAACCAAAGCAGCCAACAATTAGGAGAACATGAGCATGCAGCAACACAAGACCCAAATTACAGGGAAGGGCAAGAGCAAAGAGGGACATATTGAGGGACTTTAAAGAACCCCCAAAAAACCAGCGTTGAATGTAATGAAACTCCATTTTTTGGGTGAGACCCAGAGGCTCCCCGGAGCTTTCTAGGATGATATGCTAATGTCAGACTTTGGCATCATTCATGTGTATGGAGTTCTATGGGCCTACCGGGGACCACGAGCCAGAACCTGGCCCCCTCAGAAGAGGCAAGGGGAGCAATGGCCTATAGAAACCCCCGTGTGGTTGGAAGCATTCTATGTCTGCCATCGACCGGATGAGGCACCCAGAAAGGTAAGCATCCCAAAAACAAACCCCTATTCTGGTGAAAATATTGCTACCAAAAGCCGAACAAGCTGATAGAACTCCCCTAAAAGAGATGAGCAAAGGATCATGACGTCACACATCACCGAGCCGCTGTCTGCGCAGCTCACCCCACCCCGGGAGGGAGAAGGGGGAGCCCCAGACCCCTCACACCGGCTATCCACCCTTTAGTTCTTAGGCTGGATGTCAAAATATGTGAAAAACTGCCAACCGAAGAGAGGGAGGGATGCCGGGGAAGCCTCCGGGTCTCACCCAGAAAATGGCATTTCATTACATTCAATGCTGGTTTTCTGGGGGAGGGGAGCCCCTTCGGCTCCCTGGAGCTAACTACCCACGAGGAAAAACTTAGGGACTTACCAGGGAGGCGGTCGCTGCTCACTCTTCAACTCGAAGTCGAGACAACTGGCTGCAACCACCGACCCAAAGCAACAAATTCCCGACTAGGCCCAGGGACGTTCACAAGGTAACCAGCAGCCAGGACCCTGTTTGACCGCCAAAAGCCCTGTGCCCGAATGTCAGCCCAGGACATGTTGCCAAAGACGACAGCAAAAGCAGCGAACTTACGAACGTCATGGGCACGGGGATAGACCACAGGCTGGCTAGCCTTAATAACTCGGCAGACCTGGGAGCCCAGCGAACAGGGAAGAAGGGAAACCGGATCAACCCAAAGCGCGTCCCCGGACACAGAAGCCGTGGTGCGCAAATAACGGCGAAGAGCCGCAACCGAACGCAAAACATGACTTGAGAATGGTCCAGGACGGACCGAAATGTCATCGTCCCTTCAACTTCTAGTGTGTGGTCTAGTCAACATACTTCAGCCACGTTATTGTGACTCATCGCCTACAAAACATGATGCACCTCCGACCTAACCAACCAAGCATCCACAACCCAGGGACACCTCCAGAAAGCAGCAGTCTCATTCTTTGCCAGAAAAGAAGGAGACGGCTGCAAATGAACAAAACCATCACGAAGACTGAAAGAGCAGAAACCCTTGCGCCGGAGGAAAGCATGAAGCTCACCAACCCGACCCCCAGAGGCCAATGCCAACAGAAAAAGAGCCTTGGAGAAACAATCTTGAACTGAAGGGGCCACAACAAACCGAGGAGAAGAAAGATAAGAGAGCACTCTGTCCAATGACCAGGACGGCTTTTTTTTTTTTTTTTTTTTTTTTTTTGGAGTAAAGAGGAAGGAGAGGCATAGGTGAAGGGAAGTATAGAAGTGGGAAATACAGTGAGAGGTATGAAAGCAGGCGGGCTGTCTGCCTTGCTGACACGATGTGTGGGTGTTGGCAGCTAAGCTAAGCTGGCTCCCTCTTGTCAGGGAGCTGTGAGTGTGTGAGAGGTTCTTCACATGTGTTTCACCATATATGGATGTCCATAGATGAATACTGTGTAGCATTCATATATACACACTCCGATGCTTCCACACATGTTGTTCTGTTTAAGGCTCTTTATTTTATTATTATTATTTATCGAGTTGTCATACATATTATTTATCGAGTTGTTCATACATACACATATATGAACTGTTCATATATATACATATATAACTCATCTTGGGATTATATACTGTGGGGCGGGGTTTTCGTCCAGAGAATCGAGGCTCTTGGGCCACCAGCTGTGGGAGCGGGGCGTCTCATCTTGGAGTAATCTTTCAAACATTGGGTCCTCTAACATTTCGATGGTGTTCCACACCCTGATGGCTTGGTGCTGCAGTCTGATATTTAGTGGCTGTATGTTCAGGAGTTCGTGGAGCGCCTGGATTGTCTGATCATATGGTGGACGGTGTTTTGCTGCTCTCCTTAGCGCCTTATTTTGTACTGCTTGCAGTTTCTGCATGTTAGTTTTCTTTATGGTGTGTAGTGGTACTGGGGGATATTCTAGATGTGGCCGAACTAGAGCCTTATATAGGTGGATCTGAATGTTAGTACTGAGGCTTCGGAATCTTCTCAGTTTTCCTAATGCTGCTTTGGCTTTGTTTAGTCGGTCCCTTACATGAATTTGTATCCCTGTTCTATTTATCATAAGTCCCAGTATTCTGCCTACCTCCGCATATTGGATGGGCTGGTTATCAAGGATGATGGGGTCAGGGTTTCTTTTCGCAATGTGTATTATTTGGAACTTTTGTTTGTTGGTGCTTTGTTGGTGTTTTTTGAGGACGTAGCTCACAATTCTCAACCACACAGTAGTCTGTTTTGGTTTGCCTACCTTCTGTGTCCTTCCCCGGTCGATGGCAAGTATGACATACTTTAAATGTCAAGTGCTCATGGACCATTGCTCCCTGCACCTCTCTCAGGGGGCCAGGTTCTGGATCGTGGTCCCCGTTAGGCATAAGAACTCTGTGACTGATGATCCCAACTAATGTACTACAACCAACATAATTTAAATTTCCACACACTATAATTAGCGCAATTACCTAAGTGTAGTTACAGGATGAGAGCTACGCTTGTGGCTTCCCGTCTACCCAGCACTCTTTATCATATAACGCTTTGAAACTACTGACGGTTTTGGCCTCCACCACCTTCTTACCTAACTTGTTCAAACTGTCTACCACTCTGTTTGCGAAAGTGAATTCTCTTATATTTCCTTGGCATCTTTGTTTAGTTAGTTTAAATCTATGACCTCTTTGTTCTTGAAGTTCCAGGTCTCAGGAAATCTTCCCTATCGATTTTATCAATTCCTGTTACTATTTTGTACTTAGTGATCATATCCCCTCTTTTTCTTCTGTCTTCTAGTTTTGGCATA